TTTTAATAAGGGAGACAGTAATCCTCGGTCACTGTCCCACTGTCCCAGTATTAACAGCAAGGAAAACCAGTGCTCTTATTAATCTGTTCCAGGGGTACACACACCCCGTCTTGGAGGCCACTACGAAGAAAGAAAAGGAAAAGAAGACTGAGGCACATAATGACTGTACACTGACTCGGAGTCCACGCTCCACTGTGTAAACATCGATGACTAAAGACCCTCTGTAACTCAGGATGGCTGCGTCTGGCCCTTTCTAGAGCCAGGATTATCACCTCCTTTGAATGTAGATACAGGACAGGAGAGGAGGCCAGGAGACAAAGCGGCGAGCGCTGAGGCCCGTGGCTCAGAGCGCTAGTAAGGAAGTACGGCAAGACTGCAGATCACATGACGTGTGTGTGTGTGTGTGTGTGTGTGTTCTGCCAGCTCTGATTCCACTTAGCCTGCTACTCCCGCTCCCCCTACCCCGGACCACTGTGTGGAGCCGGCCGGATGATCAATCTCCTGCTCGGGCACCGCCCGCAGAGGCCGGCTGGCCCCACCACGCCATCTGCCCGTGCACCTGCTCTCGGCGCCGGCGCCTGCTCCCGAGCTGCTGGCCCAGAGGGCAGCAGCCACTACGAACTCCTGTTTTCTGCAGGGATTCGTGCAAGTATTCAGGAAGAAAAGCTGCAGAGAGCCCAAGACAAGAGACAGGACAACAAATGGGAACCACAAAACCTCTTGGGGGTGGTCATAAAGCATCTTACTTACCCGTAGTTCCTAAAGAAATCCAAAGTCATTGCTGTCTATTCCCTTGGATAAATAAATAGTTCATTTTATTTTAAAAACCTATTTGATCTTGACTTTTTTTTAACCAACTGATAAAAGGGCTAACGGAGACAACAGTGGGCACAACGTACTATTAAATGAATTCACATCAGATCTGTGTAACCTTTTCTCAAGATCTGAAAGTAAAATTTATTCTTGATTAATGTTTTCATGAGCATGGTAAAGAAGTCCTGACTTTAAAAGTTCTCTTACAGTTGATTATCAACATACAAGAAGCTCACCAGAGTATACTTGAAACACGTCATCTATAATAAAGATAATGTAAATGGTAACTAACCCAAATAAATACAAAAATGTTAATTTCATCAATAATCAAAAAATACATATTAAAACAAGGAGGTATCATCCCAATCCCCATTAAGTTAGCAGAGACAAAATTTGTAATTCCAAAAACACAGAAGGGAAAAGCGCCTCCCCCTCTCTCATGCACTGCTGGTAGGGGCTGATTGATACATTTTGTCTAGAGAACAATGAGACAAAATGTATCCAGGGTTCTTAAAATGCTCATTCTTCGACCCCAAGTTCCACCTTTGAGAATCTGATCTACTTAAAAAATACATAATAACCAGAAATGAACAATGAGACTTATAACCAAACACACTGGTTTATTTGGTGGTTATAATATATTTATTGTCAAAAGTGACAAGCTGGATAAAATCTAAGTACTTGGCCAAAGAATGTACATTGGTTACAGATCTGTATGATGAAACATTAGCCATTTAAAATGAGTATTATATCATGTAACACACTCAACTATTTTTTTTTCCAACTAGGGTACAAAAACACTAAAATTGGTTTCTTCTATGTAAAAGAGAAACCAGTACAGAAAAGAGACTGGAAAATCAAATCATAACACATTCACCGCTGTAACCACCACATGAGCGTTTCGGATGACGTTTAAACTGTATTTTGCAAATGTTCTACAATCTGTAAGCTACTATTTCATAACTGGCAAAAAAAATAGTTTAAAAAGTCTATGGATCGGGGCACCTGGGTGGCTCAGTCGGTTAAGTGACTGACTCTTGATTCCGGCTCAGGTCATGATCTTACAGTCATGAGATCAAGCCCCATGTGGGACTCTGTGCTGACGGTACGGAACCTGCTTGGGATTCTCTCCCTCTCTCTGCCCCTCCCTCTGCTTACTCTCTGTCTCAAAAAAAAAAAAAAGTCTATGGATCAACCAACAATATTTCAAAAAATCAGCTACTTTTTAACACTAAGACCAGCTTTATAAAACAGAAGCCTTATACAATAAAAACAGTATTTCTTACCATTCCATTCTGAATGATTCCTGGATAAAGCATCTATGACTTTGAAAATCAATGTCACAACATAAACCTTTAACAAACAACAATCAATGACACGGAAAACACCATTTATCCCCAGACGGAATTACACAACAATCATAAAATGGACATTATGGGTTTTTTTTCTCTATGATATTCTTTCCCTAAAAATAACTGTGAGAGATGGAAGAACCATTTTATTAATTTCAACTCTGAAGAGGACAAGACACGATCCATAAGCAACTTTCTGCTAACAGATGAATCTCTAAGTATAAATAAAACTAGGAATTTTTAACCAAATGCTGGGCTGTATGGCACTCTAATGGATCTATGCTAACTAGAATAAAAATAAACATTAGGGGGGCGCCTGGGTGGCTTAGTCGGTTAAGCGTCCGACTTTCGCTTAGGTCATGATCTCGCGGTTCGTGGGTTCGAGCCCCGCGTTGGGCTCTGTGCTGACTGCCCGCTCAGAGCCTGGAGCCTGTTTCTGCCTGTGACTCCCTCTCTCTCTGACCCTCCCCTGCTCACGCTGTCTCTCTCTCTCTCTCCTAGAAATAAATTTAAAAAATATATAAAAAAAATAAATTAAAAAAAATAAACATTAGGAACATACTAATTTTTAAAAAAGCAAGAGAAACATAAAAACTTGTTTAAATTTTAACATCTTCTTTACATTTAAGGGTCTTTGAAGACACAGGTTTAAAAAAAAAACCTAAAGTCAGCACTTCTGAAGCATGTAAACCTAGCGGCAAGATACTTAACCTCCTAAACGCACCTGTTTCCTCAAGTTTAAAATAAGGTTAAATAAGACAATGTACGCAGACGTGCCTCACCCATTACTCAATAAAGGAGAGCTATTATTTTCCTTCAGAAATAATGTTTAGTAGGCAGAAGCGAGCAGTAAAGATATAACAGAGGATTTAAATTCATTCAGTGAGCATTCAAGAAGCTATGCCAGACAATGGGTATACAGAAATAAACAAGAGCTGGCAGTTTTTAGGGAGAGAAGAATAGAAGCCAACTAAAAATGAGAATACACTCTAATAGGATAATACAGGTATGGTAAATATAGGCTGCTTTATTCAAGTTTATTTATTTTGAAACAGAGAGCACACAGGGGAGGGACAGAGAAGGAGGGAAAAAGAATCTCAAGCAGGCTCCGTGCTGCCAGCACAGAGCTTGAAGTGGAGCTCGAACTCATGAACCACGAGATCATGACCTGAGCCGAAACGAAGAGCAGGACACAACCTACTGAGCCACTCAGGCGCCACTGACTTACAGATTTCTTTAAAGAAGTACAAGTTAGGAAATGAAACAGGGGCTGGAAGTTTAAGGAAGATTTTAAGAGAGAAGTGCTATTAGATCTGAATGATTAAAAAAATAAATGTTATCCAGTCAGAGAAGGAACGGAAGGAACATCAGGCAGGTACACATGGAACCGTGCAGCTAGAACCAGAATTTCTCGAGGGATGTGGCCTGCAGGATCATGGAAAGGGGGCAGGGCCGAGGCCATCCCTGAGCCGCGCCACACCTTCCACACCCACCGCAGGCTCTGGCAGGGAAGGAAAAAGGAAAGAGCCCTAGAACCCAGAAATGAGCTCTCCCACAGCTCCATCTTCCCATTTCTCTCCAGCGCCCCCTATTGACAAAGCTAATACTGCAGTGGCTAACGGGAGAACTCTCACAAGGTAGGTTCTGGTCTGGTCAAGGCCATCTCTGGGGCAGAGAAACAGTCAACTGATAACTGGCATATGGTCTTTCCTATCAGGTAAATGACAGGACTTCTGTCTTATTCTTTTTTTTTTTTTTTAAATCCCTGGCCTCTAACACAATGCCTGCCACAGAGAAGGAATTCAATAAATTTGCAAAGCATAATAAAATGGAAAGAACACAGAATTTAGATGCAGGCAGATACTGGTTTGAGCCTGCCCAGTGACAGAGCTGTGGGGGCGGGGAGGGGCGAGTGGGGAGGGAGAGTGGGGAGGAAGACACAGAAATAAGCACATGAGATTTCTGAAAGGTCAGCATGCACAGGATGTTGCTACCTAGAAATAGTTCAGACTCCAGGTCACACTTAGAGGAGTTATTTTAACAACTTTCTGAAATATTCCTTACAGAGATTCGTCTACCCAGGGAGGCCATCTTTTCAAAGAACTGTACATGCAATCAGGATGACACTAAAAAAACTGAGTGGAGGCGGGCTACGAGGAAAGAGGCTTGAACTAAATATCCCCAACCAATGTGATGCAACAAACAAACTGAAACCACACACCTTCCTAACCTGTTTTTTTATTTCTCACAAAAAAAACAATTGTTCATTTCATATATTAAATAATGCCATCAGTATCAAAAACTGTTTTCTTTAAAATCCCATCCAAAGAGGTACAAGACAAGGTACCTCTTTGCAGGGGAGCCAACAAGAAACACAGGTTTAAATGCTGCCCTGTTAGAAACAGCCTCACCTGGCTGAAAAGAATCATTGTTAAATTATGTTTTTCAAAGATTTTGAAGGCATGAGATTTGATCCAAAATTGCTCTGTTGTGCCAGATTTCTATATAAAGCTACTTGCAGGAAGTAAAGATTTTCTTTCAATCAGAATAAAGAGAATCACAGATGCAGACAGTGACAGACAACATTCAGTCTTCATAAAGTCTTACTTATTGAAAGAACAATTCCAGACAAGTGACAACCTGTCCTAGTTTTAACCATCTTTAAAACAGACTAGTCTTCTAGAATAGTCGTGGTTTAAGCAATGTGTGTAAAGAATCAAACGCTGCCTACAGTGCTTTACTGGCAGGAAATTCACCCTCAGTCTTTCTTGATTTGGCACATATTTATAAGAAAACTAACCAAACATAACATCATATTTTTTTGAGTAATCTCTATGCTCAACATGGGGCTCGAACTCATGACCCTGGGATCAAAAGCCCCATGCTTTACCAACTCAGCCAACCAGGCACCCCTGATGTCATATATTTTTTAAAAAACACCAAAGCTTGAGGGACTGCAATTACTACAAAATAAAAAGGTTTTAAAACTCAACAGAATCGATAATAGATTGTTTTCTAGAAGATGCTCCTCCAATAAGGTTCAAAAGCAATATTCACTCATCTTCCAGGAACGATGCAACTGAATTACACCTCAGTCTCCCTATAAGCCATTTAACACAGAATAGAACTGCATTTAAAGATCTCCTCTCACGAGGCTTATTCTTAGCAGAGGACAGGGTCCATGTCCCCAGTGCCTCTCACAGAGTCTAACACATAAGAAATGAATGGCAACATTTGCTCCAAGAAATGGCTAAAAGGATCTCCCCACACCGTAGCCTATTCTACAAGGTGGCCTAGGCCACATACAACAATGCCACCCAGTCTCATCTGACTTCAGATCCACAAGTTCCTAATTGGAAAATAATTAATTTACTCTATCCACCACCTCTGATCACAATGAACCTCTTGTTGACTAGTTCCAAACCGAACACTATCGACATATAATTTCCATTCCTAGTAATAAACTAGATCTTGCCTGAAAGAGAGCCGGAACTAGAATGGTAGTTACCAGTAAGAATAGGATTTTTAGTATTTTTCTGCTATGTATGGAATATTCTTCTCTTAATGACTATGAATAAATATTGCAGAACTCATCTGAATTAGACTTAGGCCTTCAAAGAGCCCTCCCAACCAACCTACCCCAAAATGATCCTAAAACTCTAATAAAAATTTAATAGAGAGTATTGAAGAAATACAGTAAAACAGTCAAAATAATAAAATTCAGATAAAGAAAGAAGTTAAAAAAATGTCAGAAAGAATGGGTAGAATTAGAAAACAGGAAAGAAGGATTAACATTCATAAAACTGGGAGTCTGAGCAAAAGAGGGAAAAAAAAGGAGGGGGACAGAATGAATAAATAACTGATAATCCAAGAGAAATTTGCAAAAATAAAAGATCTGAATCTACATATTGAAAGTGCCAACCAACGCCTAAAACAACCACTCCCAAACATAGAAAACTCTTAGGCCTCAAAGATAAGGAAAAGCTCAAAGCCTCTAGGCAAAAAAATACAATAAAAATAAAATAAGTAATAAAATATAAAATAATGAACAAAGACAAACGAATTTAACTGGCATCAGAGTTGTCTAAAGCAAAATACAAAGCAAAGCAACAATGGAATGGCACTGTTTTTAGAAATTTAGTGAAAGGAAATATGAATAATGGATTTTATACCCAACCAAGCTGTCCTTCAAGTATGAGTGCCTTTTAAAAACAGTTTTAAACACATAAGAATCACTACTCCTTCTTGAGTAATCTACCAGAGGTTGGGCTAAGTGCACCCCATAAATGACTAGGGAAATTTCAGCCAAAGTGAGAAGGCCATCCATATACATAACTGTAGGCCTAATATTAAAATAAAGCTGGGGTACTGGGGCGCCTGGGTGGCTCAGTCGGTTATGTGTCTGACTTCCGCTCAGGTCATGATCTCGCAGTTTGTGGGTTCCAGCCCGGCACTGGGTTCTGTGCTAACAGCTTAGAGCCTGGAGCCTGTTTCAGATTCTATGTCTCCTCCTCTCTATGCCCCTCTCCCATGTTCATGCTCTGTCTCACTCTGTCTCTCAATAATAAATAAACATTTAAAAATAAATAAATAAAAATAAAATAAAAGTGGGGTGTTAAGCTCTGAAAGTTGGAAGATTAATGTGCAAATGTCAAGAGCTTGTGATAAAACAGAAGCAATGCAAAAAAAAAGTGAAGACACGGGAAAGGAGGTGAGAAAGTAAAATAACTTCATTGGCTGTCAGCAGTTAAAGGGTGCCATTAAACTAACACAACAGAGGGTGCATGATTAAGTGGGTAACAGAGCAATACAGGCATTTAAAAGGTATAAAGACAAAGGTAACCACAGAATAATACCAATGTTCCTAAATAACAGGTCATTAATTACAATATATGTATACATTTCATAGGGAAACACAGCAAATATCGAATAACATAGAATTACAAAATATCACCACAGACTTGAGACCACATTTACCAGTAGTATCAACAAAACAACAAGACTTCAATTCTACATACAAGAGAAACATCTTAAGCATAGTTCAGAATGGCTAAAATTAAAGGGATATAAATGGCCTAACAGGAAAAAGAGAGCAAAGCAGAACTCAAGCCAAAAGGATTAAATATGAAAAGAGCACTTTAATTCTAAAGCCACAACTGACAACGATATTTTAACACTTAAAAATATCCATACACCAAACAGTGCTGTGACTATGCTAATAAAACTAAACACAAGTTGCAAGGGTGAAAGGATTTCAAACTACAAGGGAGGCAGGTGGGGAGCACCTGGGCAGCTCAGCTGATGAACTGTCCAACCCTTGGTTTTGGCTCAGGTCATGATCTCGCAGTTTGTGAGACTGAGCCCCCCATCAGAGCCTGCTTGGGATTCTCTCTCTCCCTCTCTCGGCCCCTCCCCTGATCTCACCCATATGTGCGTTCTCTCGCTCTTTCTCTCTCACTCTCTCCCTCTCTCTCAAAAAATAAAATGGCACCAGATGATATAAATGGAGAATGTCACAAAAGAACCCTCAGACAAGGCAAGCTGAAAGACACTGCCAGTAAATGCCCGGTTTACAGAATACACAGAGTTATTTCCTGTCCAATGAATACCTCCAAGAATCTCTCCCCATCCTCAGACCAATGAACTTACTGCTTGGACTGTGTCCAGACGTCCTCCTCTCTGCACTCCTTGCCCATAAATTCAGCCCACCCCAAACACGGACAGATGCTACCTGGAGCTCGCCACAGCATGTATTTCCCAACCTGCAATTCCTCTCTTCCCAGACAACTTGAATGTCTGATGATTTGAGCTTGCCTCACTTTACCTCTTAATTTAGGCTGACGCTAGAAGAAATGTACTGAAAACATGAGACTTGAATACACTCTCCAAGTAAGAAAAATGCAGCACATACACATGCACAAACAACTGTAGCTGAAGGCTTATATAGAAAGGTGATAGTAAAGTTCATTTGAGAACCTATCATATATGAACATAGAGAAAAAAAACATGAAAAATAAAAACCCACAAGGAGAGATTAACTCTAACAGATATCAACTCATAAACACAACTTTCACAGAAAACAGAGTGGATGGAAAAGAAGTAAACAGACCTGCAGAATAAAGCAGGAAGCCCAAATTCAACCTATGTAAATTTGGAAATGTAAGATATGATAAAGGGGGCATCTCAAAACATCTCAGTATGGGGTGCCTGGGTGGCTCAGTCCGTTGAGCTTGCAACAGAAGCTTTCTGAGAGATCATGGCTCAGGTCATGATCTCTCAGTTCGTGGGTTCAAGCCCCATGTCGGGCTCTGTGCTGACAGCTCAGAGCCTGGAGCCTGCTTCGGATTCTCTCTCTCTCTCTCTCTCTCTCTCTCTCTCTCTAAACTAAAAAACATTAAAAAAAAAAAAAAACACTCCAGTAAAGATAAAATGCTTAATAATGAGCACTGGGACAATTAAGTAGCCATCTGGGCAAGACAAAGGTCGATCCCTACCTCAACACCACACATGAGCATGTACTCCAAATGCATCAGGGATGCAAACGTAAAAGAATGAAGCCACACAAGGACTAGAGGAAATCACAGGTGAACTTCTCTTCACCCTCAGCGTACAGAAAGTCTGTGACTTCAGTAAGACTCAATATCCAGGAGAAACGGGAAAAAAAATATTTTGTAAATTTAATTATGGAAGTATTTTAGATGTCACTAAAACACCAGAAGCAGAGTCAAAAGATAACTGAAAAACTAGGAGATTTTGTCTGTGATATACATTATAGATAATCCATGATACATAAAAAAAAAAAAAGAAGAGACATGAACAATTAATGAAGATCTAAAACTAGCCAAACATATAGAAAGAATTAGAAAAGGAGAGAGATGAAGACGAAAACCTGAGACCCCATCCTCCCCGCCGAACGGTGGAATTACACAGCATGACGATGACAATACTCTGTTTGGGTTCCGTGGAAATGCCCAGTTTCCACACAGAGTCGACTCAGGACGCAAATCAGCACCCCCTTTCAGAGAGTACACTGGTTGATACCTCTGTATGTACAGACCTTTAAGCTGGCCATCTCCACCCCAGAAGTGAATCCTGACGATACACTTCTGACAACGTAAAAACCCACGTGCAAAAGCTGACTTACTGCAGCACTACTTGGGACTACAAAACACTGGAAACATCTAGACGTCCACACATAGGAACACACTTGAGCAAACCACGACAGGGTCACTACGTGAGGTACTTAGCGCAGCCATACGAAACGGGCGAGGACTATCTCCACCACCTGAGACACAGCTCCTAGTCTCTATTATGAAATAAGAGAGTATCTAGGATATGCTACCAGTTAAGGAAAAAACAAAGGGAAATGTTTTAAAAGTTCATGGATTCTGCAAACAGAATTCGGTCTAATTTATTCCGTGGGATTATGGCCCACAGAATAAATGGTCATGAGTCCATAGTGATATAAATATTTCAATAAATAAGTACGGAGGAAAGAAAGTTCTCCCAAGTAAAATTCCAATTAATAACTACAAAACGCAAGATAGAAAACTCACACCTTGACTCGTGTTTGTATGTGGAAGAAAGGAAGAATATGCCAGATGCTCCTGGGAGACGGGGGATGGGATGAAAAGCACCGATTGTGGGCACAGGGAAAAGGATGTCAGGACACTGATCCTTCTCTCAGTAAATGACTTAGTACAGTTCTGCCTTTGAAAACCATGCTGATGTTTCACATACTCAAAAAAAACAAAAATACAAAAAAAAAAATTAAAACCAGGCAGGAAGTGGGCAGAATTCACAACGGAATACAAGAGGCTTCAAATTAATTTAACTGAATCAAAAATTAATAACATAACCACACTGAATCTCACTTTGGAAAGCAGCATTTTGACCACATACTGTAGG